GCGGGATGCTGTGATGAATGACCGTAATACAACCAACGTTGGAAAGCTCACGATTTTGCCATCCTCATACATAGGTAGTCCACGCCACATGCATGAATATGCTCAAAATGCCATGGCATATGTTCGTTGCCACGGCCGTCCAGACTTATTTATCACCTTCACATGCAATCCAGCTTGGGATGAGATAGTACAGCTGTTATTTCCTGGACAATCGTATAGGGATAGGCATGAAATCACAGCCCGTGTTTTCAGACAAAAGCTCAAGTCACTGATGGATTTCATTGTGAAACATGGAGTTTTTGGATCTATGCGGTGATGGATGTATTCAGTAGAATGGCAGAAGAGAGGATTGCCGCATGCGCACATACTGATTTGGCTGTATGATAATATTACTCCAGATGAAATCGACGATGTTATATGCGCTGAGATTCCACGGGCCGAGGTTGATACGGATTTACATGAAGTTGTCATCAAGAACATGATCCATGGCCCATGTGGTACCCTCAACCCATGTTCACCATGCATGGTAGACGGGAAGTGTTCCAAGCGATATCGTCGAGCATTTACAGCCAACACCGTAACAGGGGACGATGGATATCCTCTGTATGGGAGACGGTCAACTGAAGATGGAGGGACTTCGGCAAATTTAAACATGAGAATTGGTGATATTGAGGTAGACAATCGTTGGGTGGTTCCATACTCACCACTATTGTCAAAATCATACAAAGCGCACATAAACGTAGAATATTGCAATTCCGTGAAATCGATTAAATATATCTGCAAGTACGTGAATAAAGGCAGCGATATGGCAGTTTTTGGTGTTCAGGCAGAAAATGGTGACAACAATGCAGTACGAGTTGTCGATGAAATATCTCAATACCAGGCTGGAAGATACATAAGCAGCAACGAGGCTGCATGGAGAATTTTTTCCTTCCCCATTCATGAACGCTATCCAGCTTTAGTTCACTTGGCAGTCCATTTTGAGAATGGTCAACGTGTCTATTTCACAGAACTAAATGTGCAAGAAAGAGTCCTGAATCCGCCAGCGACAACTCTGACTGCCTTCTTCACCTTATGCCAGGAAGATGATTTTGCCAGAACCTTGATGTATTCAGAAGTGCCCTCTTAACCAAAATATGCCACAGAGAAACGTGGCAGGGTACAGCTAGTATATATATATATATATATATATATAAATATAAATAAATTTTTACTTACATATTATGTTTGTGTAATTAATTTTTATTTAAATACAGTCAATTAACACCAATTTACTCAAACCAAATATCAATCTAATTGACAATTGCGCACTTATGTATTCACATATACTTATTTCCTAAGAACTAAAACGCGACACACAAATTTGGTATAACGATGAAAGAATAGGGAGCATTGGGTGCATTGTTAGAACAAAACACTAGAGAAGAGTATTGCATACCAAAAATAGATTACAAGCATAGATTATAAAAAATATATACTCGTAAGCAGTAAAAATAACCATACACATATACTTATTTCCCAAGATATTTTTATCTAATTGAAGATATAGCCATTTTATATTATTGTTAACGTGAGAGGCTCACTGTGCCGCCTCTGTTCAGGAGCGAGCTTTCTGTTCCTGGCTTGCTCTCGCACCATTGCCGATCTCCCGCTCTCGCTTTAACGAGGCAAAGCAACCGGGAGCTCGGTTCTAAGTTAAGTTTGCCGATCTCCCGCTCTCGCTTTAACGATGCAAAGCGACCGGGAGCTCGGTTTTAAGTTAAGTTTTAGTCTCTTGTAATCATCGAATAAACGCTGACGCTGAAATATTTACCACGCCCCCGCCTTTGTTTTTTCAACCCTGACGGGTTACTTCTTATCTCCAGCGACGTGGGAAATATTTGGCACCACGATAAGGACTCTTTGCGGAGAGGATCGCCCCCCTAACATTTGCTCCTTCGAGCCGGATTCCTTGCAGGATATCCTCCAAGTCACCAGCAGTTCTAGGAATCTGTCCGCCAAGATAAGTACGAGTTTTCCTCCTCCGTCTATCCTAGCTGCCGATCTGCAACAGTGGGCCGAACACTCAATTTCGGTCGCACTCCCGCAAGATTTCCCTATTCATTCGTGTCAACTTCCAGTCCGTGTATTCCTGACCCCAAGGCAGCTGAGGAACTCCAATTTTTATTCGCCTTCGTTCCTCGAAAATTTCCATCGGTGTTCGCTTGTGTTCGCCGCCATTTTCCTCGCCGTTTCTTCTATTGCCCGTTGCCCATCAACTTGCCAACGGTCGAGGCCTATGTACAGCTGCATACACACACACACACACGAATGCTAATCTTTTGCACATCATAATTCCGTGCATATAAAAACCTCACCGTGAACAGTTAAATCGTGTTGCGGAAAAAAAGGGGCATAATAAATATCGGACAGCCGGTGTGCACTTGTTTCGGAAGTTCACCGTGTACGCCAAACAGCCCGCCGCTGCCGCGATATTTTTTTGTCGTCTTTTGTGCCGTGTCCATACAACATATTTCTGTTCGCGGAATTTAATACAGTCCACTTCTCGACGCTCCACTGTGCCCTGACACATTTTTCCTATTTACATGCATGCCCATTTATTTTCCAATATATTTTCTGCCAACGATTCCAGGAACTAATCCCGATAAAATTAAAAAAAAAAATTCAAGTTGAACGAAACAATTAGCAACAAAACCCAAACGCAAACACAAGTGTTTTAATTGGTTTCAATTTCGCCGCCGCAGAGGCCGTGTTGTTGTTGTTGCCATTTCGTTTCTTGGGGCCCTCACATGGACACCGCTTGTCGTCGTCATGCAGCGAACTTTTCCTCGCGACTTTTAAGTCCACTTCTTCGGCTCGGAACAATTCAACATTTGCGGCTTGCAGTTTATAAGATTAACATTTGTTAGACAAAAACTAGTATAACCAACATCCAAATTCAATTCACACAGATGCCACTGCGCTTGTCCTGTTTATTAATTTTTTTGTATCCACTTCGCCGCTGTAGAATCCGTGCGTGTTGTTGTTGTTGCCGCTTAATTTGTTGGTCATCATATAGGCACCGCTCGCCGTCGGCATAACACAGCGAGTTTTCTCCGAGACCAAGAACCGTACTTTTAAGCAGGGGCTCATGAGAGCCTGCGGACGGGTCATGGCCTCAGACCTTTTCCAATATGACGAGCGGCACCCTATAATCCTTCGGTACAACTGACATCTGTCTCGCCATCTTGTCCACTTTACGCTTCGCATAACGCTACACGGCGGTAATCAGCTGACAATCCGCCTGATCCGTTCCAAATTCTGGATTCCGAGGGTGAGGAATTTGGTCAAATCGGTCATCTATTCGTGCAAGGTGTGTCATCCACAAGAAGAAGGTACAGACGCAACTTATGGGAGAGTTGCCTAAGGAGAGGACGTCGTTCTCTCGTCCCTTCACCTACACCGGTATGGACTACGCCGGCCCATTCGACATCAAGAACTACACTGGCCGAGCCTGTCTGATTACAAAGGGGTACGTTCTAGTGTTCGTGTGCCACTAAGGCCATCCATTTAGAGCCTACGTCCGACCTTACGACCGAAAAATTTCTCGCTGCTTTCGCCCGTTTCGTGTGCCGCAGAGGATGCCCCCGCCAAGTTCAATCGGACAATGGAAAAACCTTTGTAGGAGCGGCTGCCCTCCTCTCACGTAATTTTCTCCAAAGCCTGAAAGGGACTGTGATAAGCGTCTATTGCCATCAACAGCTTCTTTGGCATTTCATTCCTCCGGGAGGCCCCCACATGGGAGGCCTGTGGGAGGCAGGCGTCAAGAGCTTTAAGACCCTGTTCTACGGTCTAGTCCACGGCCATGCGCAAATACACATTTCAAGAGCTGTCCACGGTCTTGGCGAGAATGGAGCATGCCTGAATTCGCGCCCGATCGCTCCCATGTCCGAAGAACCCGCCGACTTGTTGGTACTTACTCCTGGACACTTTCTTGTTGGAGGGCCCCTTCTAGCCACGGTGGAACCTGAAATAAAGGGGGGCACAACGTCCATGATTAACCGGTGGCAGCGGATGAAGGAAGAGTACCTCAAGGAACTTCATAAACGGAATAAGTGGCGATCGCCTTCAAGAGACCTCCGTGTCAGGGACATGGTGGTTGTTAAGGAAGACAACCTTCCGTCCAATGAATGGCGATTAGGAAGAGTCGATGCGGTGCTTCCAGGATCCGACGGCCGTGTTCGTGTGATCGAAATCCGCACTGCGCGGGGGCTCCTCAAGCGCCCTGTAACCAAAGCTGTCCTCCTTCCGACAGACGCGTCCGCTTGTCTCGTAGTCATAAGCCGTAGTTCCAATACGAAATACTTATACTAATACTAATACAATACTAATTCCTTTATTGTTCTTCGTCATATCGGCAGTCATACCTAGCAAGATGCCTCCGCGTCCACGCACCGACATTACACAAGAAGGCAGATGTATTCGAGGTATCTTGTCTTACTGTTGCCGAGTCTGCTGGGGGATTCACCCACAACGAAAATGCCGTCGTTTTCTGCGCCTGAATGCTGGGAAGCGGCTACGGGCTAACCGATACTGTCCCAGCTGTTTGGTCCACGAGCATTCGGACGGAGCGTGTCAACGAGGGGACCACTGGCTCCATGCCAGCTGCGGCAAATGCGCGCCGGTCTCGGGACGCCGTCGCACCTTCCCGGCAATCTGCGAATAAAAGCTGACGCTGAAATATTTACAACGACGCCCCCGCCTTTGTATTTTCAACCCTGACGGGTTACTTCTTTTCGCCAGCGACGTGGGAAATATTTGGCACCACGATAATGACTCTTTGCGGGCAGGATCGCCCCTCTAGCAATTATTATAGACTTTCGATTTTAACTATATGAAAAAAGCTGGCATAAAGTTTTGGAGGCGCATTAAGATAATTTACTATAAAAGTGTTAGGTTAGCTTTGAGTGAAATTTTTAACGGAACGAAAATTTGAAATATTAAAAACTTATTCTACTTACATCGACTTCGCGTTTCCAAAGTTAAGTCTTCCACTGGCTCGAATTCAGTATCAGTGTCCAGGTCTTCTGAGCTCTACAAAATGTAAGAAATATTTAGGGGGATTAATAATTATTTATGCTTAAAATATATATTATAGAAATTACTGTATAGTATTGATTAGCGATAACTCGCCGCAGACAATCGTGGCTCGCCTTTGCAAAAACAATGCTACTAAAATTGGACGTAAGGTGCACATCGGCGCGATCTCTAGTTTGCAATAGCAAAGCAATGCTTTTTTTAATCACACAATTTGTATGGTTTATGACGACAGCGCTGGTTGCTTTTATTCGACGACGCCAAGTATGTCATTACTGATAAACAGTTTGTTGCTTTTCATGTTTCGAAGAACTTGATTACTCAGAAGCCGGTGCTCAAGATCTTTTTCCTACAACACGAAATAGAGCTACATACACATACATTTATTAATGGCTGCGGAACAGTTCTAATCCGAATATCATTTCACGATATCAAGATTTAACTAGTTTACTATATTAATAAGAAAGGAATCAGAACGGAAGTTTTCCAGTTACGAGTTACGCAATGATGGCGCTTTTATCATATACCTTGTAAAGATCTCCGACGAAATTTAAAAAATATATTCAGTCACAAATAAAAAAAGTCTACAAGTTATTAATATCCTGAATGAGAAGTCTAATAGTCTCCTTCACAATATATTGTAGCTAAACTTCAACGCGAAATAATTCAGCAGGCGAATGAGAGAGAAAATTTAAGAACGTATAGCAAATGAGTATTAAATTCCAAAATTAAAAGATAAAATACAACGATAGATCAGAAAAATAATTTCTTGCATTATATCTAATAGCAGACTTGGGGAAAAAAAAAAGAGCTGTATCCTTTGATTTGGCATGGAACACGTTTTTATACCCTTGCAGTGTACTATAATGTCAGTCAAAAGCTTGCTATACTGATTTTGTAGGGCATGTTTGATTGAGGGACCTTTTTTTAGACAACGGACGAATGTTTTCCTATTAGGTCCCATTCTATTTAATTTTCACTGCATAACATCTTTTTCCAAAATGATGTTACTTTCTCCTATTAAATTCTGTAGAAAACTGAAAATGTTATAATTTTTTTTTTAATTTTCCGATTATTCCTTTGGCAGCTATATGATATAGTCGTCCGATCCGTCCCGTTCCGACTTATATACGAGTATTTGCATACACTCTCGCGCTCCAACCTAAGCAGCGCTATATGCATGTACATAAGATATACATAACCGTCTCTCATCTGCCGGATATTGGCAGCTTTGCTATGAGTCTTAGCTCATCTTAGCTCCTAAGAATCAGGGTAAGATTAGAGACGTTTATAAGCTTGGCACATTCGCTGCTCCTTCAAAACGAAGAAACCAAACCCCAATATAAAAAAAAAATTTTTTTTCGGTTGGATTAAACCTATATATATAAAAATGCTCTGTTCGTGTCTACATCCTTCATAGACTTCAAAAGTTCTGAACCGTTTAAGCCCAAATTTTTACACAACTTGCGTTGAGTTTCCAGCTCGGTTATTGTCTACTTTTGATGTTGATAACTTATCTGCGGTTGCATATATATTAATTTTTTTTCGCGTTTCCCCGGCCCCTACTGCTGCGCCCTCTGCAGGCAGCCAGCTGAATCAAAGCATTTCCTGTCAAACATTCAAAACATATTGAAAGAAGAAATTGGAGATAAAAATTTTATTTTTAGTTCAGGTTCAGTAAGAAACGAAGTCATGCCACCCAAGAAGTCAAGTTTGGGTCGTCGTACTCGCAATACAGAAGCAAACAGACGTAAGATTACGAATATGACTGACGAAGAACGGGCCTCCATCCGAGAGACTGAGCGGCTAAAAGCAATGCAGATGCACAACGAGGAATCAGGAGAAAGACGAGCAGATAGGCTTGAGAGAAAACGATTGAGAGTTAGGCAGTCGCGTTCTGCAGCAATCGATTTGATTCACTCTCAAAATAATGAACGCGACAGGGCAAGGGTAGCTGAAGAGCGTTTACAGCTTGCAGAAGATCAAAACCTGCAATACAATCGTCTTGCATTCAGATATAATCCAACTATTGATTACAGCTCGAATCGAATGTCGTTATTGGACGAATGCATCAGGTCTGCATATACCGTCAGGCTCTCAAATTTAAAAACGAACCAAAAGGATTGTGTTGCGCTTCCGGGAAAGTGGAATTGCCTTGAAGCACCACCAGAGCCTCTGCACTCTCTATTCGCTGGATCTACTGCAGAATCGAAGCATTTCCTGTCGAACATTAGGAAATACAACTCTTGCTTTCAAATGACGTCATTTGGTGCGGAAATTATAACTGCACAATTCATGCCAACTTTTAAAATCAAAGTACAAATCTATCATAAAGCCGGTTCCCTGCTTCCGTTCCCAGACAGCGAACACAAATTTCTTCTTCTTGGTGATGATGGAAATGAAGTAGATGCACGTTATGGAATCGATACCTAAATACGCTGAAGAGGCACATTATTTCGCAGCTACAGAAGCTTTTTCACGAAAGGAACAATTTGGTGCGTTTATTCAAAACAACAATCGATATGATGCCTTCGGATACCCATAAAATTGTCATTCATGCAGACAAAACGCCTGCTGGAGAACATATCAGGAGATATAATGCTCCAACTATAGACGAAGTGGCAATTGTCATAGTCGGGGATCAGTTTCAACCTCGAGATATTGTTCTCCATCGACGAAACGATCGATTGGTAATTGTCGCAGAAACTCACCGTTGTTACGATGCTTTGCAGTATCCACTAATCTTCTGGGATGGTGCCGATGGATACCATTTCAATGTGAAGATGGTAGATCCAGTCAATGGTGTAGAAACGAATAAAAAGTGCAGCGCGATGAACTTTTACTCATACAGGTTAATGGTTCGGAGGACCGATTGCAATCATATATTGAAATGTCAGTTGTTTCATCAGTACATTGTCGATATGTATGCAAAAATTTAAACAGAACGTTTGCTGTTCCTCCGATTGAATCAGACGAAATTTCGGTCCGATGAAAATATACATTTGCGGGATGCTGTGATGAATGACCGTAATACAACCAACGTTGGAAAGCTCACGATTTTGCCATCCTCATACATAGGTAGTCCACGCCACATGCATGAATATGCTCAAAATGCCATGGCATATGTTCGTTGCCACGGCCGTCCAGACTTATTTATCACCTTCACATGCAATCCAGCTTGGGATGAGATAGTACAGCTGTTATTTCCTGGACAATCGTATAGGGATAGGCATGAAATCACAGCCCGTGTTTTCAGACAAAAGCTCAAGTCACTGATGGATTTCATTGTGAAACATGGAGTTTTTGGATCTATGCGGTGATGGATGTATTCAGTAGAATGGCAGAAGAGAGGACTGCCGCATGCGCACATACTGATTTAGCTGTATGATAAAATTACTCCAGATGAAATCGACGATGTTATATGCCCTGAGATTCCACGGGCCGAGGTTGATACGGATTTACATGAAGTTGTCATCAAGAACATGATCCATGGCCCTTGTGGTACCCTCAACCCATGTTCACCATGCATGGTAGACGGGAAGTGTTCCAAGCGATATCGTCGAGCATTTACAGCCAACACCGTAACAGGGGACGATGGATATCCTCTGTATGGGAGACGGTCAACTGAAGATGGAGGGACTTCGGCAAATTTAAACATGAGAATTGGTGATATTGAGGTAGACAATCGTTGGGTGGTTTCATACTCACCACTATTGTCAAAATCATACAAAGCGCACATCAACGTAGAATATTGCAATTCCGTGAAATCGATTAAATATATCTGCAAGTACGTGAATAAAGGCAGCGATATGGCAGTTTTTGGTGTTCAGGCAGAAAATGGTGACAACAATGCAGTACGAGTTGTCGATGAAATCTCTCAATACCAGGCTGGAAGATACATAAGCAGCAACGAGGCTGCATGGCGAATTTTTTCGTTCCCAATTCATGAACGCTATCCAGATTTAGTTCACTTGGCAGTCAATTTGGAGAATGGTCAACGTGTGTATTTCACAGAACTAAATGTGCAAGAAAGAGTCCTGAATCCGCCTACGACAACTCTGAATGCCTTTTTCACCTTATGCCAGGAAGATGCTTTTGCCATAACCTTGATGTATTCAGAAGTGCCCTCTTAACCATAATATGCCACAGAGAAACGTGGCAGGGTACAGCTAGTCATCAATAAATAAAAAGCAATCCATCCTTGTGCACCACTGTAGATTTACCTCTTACACTGCGACCGTGACATCGAATGATCTTCGGACTTTGTCTTGGATGGAAGTTCATCAACAAATTACTACGTCGATGGTTCCAATGCTGGATATTAAGGGATTAATGGCACTGAGTGAGTAGAGAAGTGATGGGAAAGCGCCGTGGAGTACAAAATAAGACAAAACAAAAAAGGAAGCTAACATCGGCACGTCCTTGCAGATATATATATGTTAAAAAACAATGAAGTAATACCTGCTTTCATTTCATTCACATATATGTACATATTATATTTACTGTTTTACATTTACATATTTTCATTTTTCCTCAAAATCTAGCAATCGTTCCTCTCAGAGCTATATGATATAATAGTCCGATTTTAATTAAATTTTAGACAAAATTGTATAATAATATGAAATGGTTATAACTTAAATTTGAAAATCTGTTGAAAACTAAAAAAGTTATAATTTTTAATATTATTAATTTCTCGATCGTTCCTATGGAAGCTATATGATATAGTAGTCCGATTTTCATAAAATATTACACAAAATTGTACAGTAATATAATTTGGCTATATCTCAAATTTCATAAAATTCTGCAGAAAACTGCAAATGTCACAATTTTTTTTTTAATTTTCTGATTATTCCTATGGCAGCTATATGATATAGTCGTCCGATCCGGCCCGTTCCGACTTATATACGAGTGAGAGTATATAGAAGACTAGTTTGCGTAGAAACGGACAGACGGACACACGGACATGTCTAGATCGACTCGGCTGTTGATTCTGATCA